CCCGGGCGCCCATCCCGCCCCTCCCCACGGAGGGGCTGCCTGTGGGCAGGGGGAGCAGCGTGAGCCTTGCATGGTCGAGACCTCCAAATGGATCCCCACCAGGCTTGCTGGAGCAGCCCTGCGCCTGTCTCCCTGCCTCAGAAGAGAAGGATGGGACTGGAGTGTCCCCGTGGGATGTACCAGTGAAGAAGATGTAGTCAAACTTGTTCTCCAGCAGTCTGGTGGTCTCCTCCACGCCAGCAGTCACCACAGCAAAGCAGTCCTGCGACAGGGAGGGGCAGTGGGAAGGCTGGCACCAAGAGCCGGGCAGGGGCAGAGTGAGCGCGTGGGGGGGGGTGCGGCTCAGCCAAGCAGGTTTGGGACACGGAGGGGTAGGTGTGCCTGGAGAGGGAGGTGGCTGCAGCAGAGGGCTCTCCTACCTCGTCCAGGTACCTGGGCAACAGGAGCTCCCTCCTGGTAAGGACCTCGCTTTTGGGGAGCAGAAGCCTGCCCCCAGTGCAGCCCCACCACCATCACCCCAGGGAGGACATGGGAAAACCCCCCACAATGAGGCTCTGGTGCCAGCCAGCACGGCAGGGACACAGCCCAGCCTCACCCGCAGCGATGGCCCCGATGAGGGGCACCAAAAGGAGGTTTATGGGGTAGTTCCAGGGCCCGATGATGAGCACCACCCCATAGGGCTCCTTGCGGATGAAGGCCGAGTCCAGCTGCGTCACCTGCGGAGGGAGGGACAGTGTGAGGGACACCTGCCTCCCATCCCACATGTCCCCAGCCGGCCACTGCCCCGTACCCAGTTCTTCTCCACATGCTCATCCTTCATCCAGGTGCCCAGGTTGTTGAGCGTGTGGTTGAGCTCGCTCCTGCAAATGGAGATCTCGGAGACCTCCGTTTCGAAGGGTGGCTGGGGACACACAGGAGGTCAGTGTGGCCACCGCTGTGGGCACAGCCCCATGGCCACCCCACGGTGGTTGTCCTCGCAGAGGTCAGCACAGTCTCCTGGAAAGATCTGACCGTCTCTGCTAGGGCAGACGCACACCCACACCCTGGGACACCCTGTGGCCTTGCAGTGGCAAGGATGGGTGACAGAGCCACCCCTCCAGCGTGCCACCCACATCATGGCACGCTGCCTGGCCCCGCACCACCCCCCCCCAGCAGGCAGGCACAGTAGGAGGATGTGGTTGAAGATGTGGATTTGGTATCTCAAGAGCTTCAGCTCCACCAGACACCGCTCCAGAGGTGGGAACAAAAGCCCCCAGTTGCTTTCAGTGAAGGCTTCCTCAGAGCCAATTCATCCGATTTCTGCGCAGCCAGAGGGAGTTGCTGTGTAGCTACCGCCCAGGGACATTCCTGGGTGAAGGAATGAGGCTGAAGAAAACAGAAAAAAACCAAAGGCCACCGCTCCCCTGGTGCAGTGGGCTGACCCTGGCCGGCGACCAGCACACACCCAGGCACCTATTGCTGCAGCGGGACGGGGAGAGGCTTGGAGGAGCAAAAGCAAGAAAAACTCAACATTCAGACAGCTTTATAAATGAAGGAAAGGGGTGGGGGGGGGGAGTCAAGTGGTGGAGAGGGAGGCACTCCGCCCACCGCCCCTGT